AGGAATTCCTTGTGGTGAAATCTCCACCAACCTATGATGCCATCTTTGGCCGCCGGCTTCTGACACCTTCATGGCAGTAGTTTCCACGATAGAAGTAAGGATGATTATCACTCACAAAGGTGACTTGCAATAATCATGGGTCTGTTATCTTTGAGCAGTCAACATTGAGGAGTACGACCCATTAGACATATAGAACCAGAGGGGATAAGGTCTTGAGACCATTGAAACCATCCTGGAGATCTCTATCATTGACTAAGAACTAGGTAAATATTTTCTAATATACAAAGACTTTTATGCGAGACACAAAGACTTGTTGATTTAGGGTTCTAGACAGTAGTAAAATGTTAGGGATACCGGTCGATGCAACATGCCGCAGACTGAATGTTGACCCATCCATCTAACTGGTGAAGTAAAAGATCAGGGCTTCAACCATGAGATAGCAAGATACATCTATAAAGAAGTATAGAAGTTAAATGACGTCGGGTATATTTCGTGATGGTCTATAAGGCCAGTATAAAATGGAGGATGTGCACGAATTTCAAGAACCTGAATTCAGCCTGCCCGATTGACAGTTACCCACTTATAAGGACTCGACTCCGTGATGGACTTTGCAGTGGGTCACTTTGTCTTGAGTTTCTTGGATGCCTTCTTCTGGTACCTTCAGATCAAAATGCACCCATATGATGCAGAAAAAACTGCTTTTATTAATAGTGAAGGAATTAATTATTACAATGTAATGCCCTTTGGAATGAAAAATGTTAGGGCAACATATCAGCATCTGATGGGTGTAATGTTTGCAAATTAGAATGGAAAAAATATTGAACTTGTGTGTAGATGATGTTCTAGTTAAGAGTCGTTAGCAAAACAACACATCAAAAATTTAAGAGAAACCTTTTTAACACTTAAATAATTTAATATGAGATTAAATCCCTTGAAATGAGGAGCCTAGACTAGCAAATTTCTCATATACCTCTTCACCTTGAAAGGTATAAAAGCCAACCTTAAAAACATCTGATCACTTGTTAACATGTCGTCTCCCGAGAACACTAAAGAGATTCTAAATTTAACTTGTTGAATAGCAAGAATTAATCAATTTATTCCAGTCAGTGACTAAAGTGGGAAATCGAGTTAAGCAAGTTTGACATATATGTCCTTTGAGCACCGATCAAAGCACAGGCAGTTGCTAACTTCCTTGCAGACCTGTCAAAACCTAGGAAAACTGAAAGAGAAAAAGTGGTTGAGAGATATGCTTGCACCATATTCATCGATGGCACATCCAACAGATCAAGAGCAGGACTCAAATTGTTCCTGTGCAATCCCACAAGGGAAAACATCTACCACTCGGTTGAGGTAAACTTCTAGGTAAATAATAATAAAGCATAATACGAAGCTTTGATTGGAAGTCCTTACTTGGCCCACAGATGGGATCCTTACATCTACTTGTGCAAACAGACTTCGAATTAGGTCAATGGAGACTTCGGGCAAGAGATAAAGTTATGATGAAGTGCCTAAAAAAAAAGGAGACAAAACTTCAAAAATTTGCTAGTTTTAGGATCGAGCACATTAGGGGGGAGGAGAATCATATTGTCGATCACCGTTCTAGAATTCTTTACATAAAGAAAAGCCACTTTAACCATCAAAGTGCCCCATTTTAAGAAGTTGGGGATTGAAGGGAATAAGAGTTGGACATACCCCTTTGTTTACTTCTTAGAAATTGGGGAGTTTGTCGAGGCGGTTACAGATCTGAGTAGATTCAAATTTAAAGCTGCCCCGGTACCTGATGACCGAAAGGGAAGTTGTTTCTTAAGTCAAGTTCCTCCCTATATCTAAGGTGTGTCAGGGAAGATGAGATCGAGGATGACCTTCGAGAAGTCCACTCAAGAGTATACGGAAGCCAAACCGCAAGAAAAATGCAGACCTACAGAATCTAAAGACAAGGTTGTTTTTGGCCAACATTACTAAAGGATGCATGGAAAATTCTAGAGATTCATTTTACGAAGAAAATTTTAGAGGACTCTAAAGATATATTTTAAAAGGAGTGATTAAAATAATTCTAGAATATATAATTAATGACTTTAGTAATTGAAGATAGAAGAATATTATAGAGAGTCAATAGTAGGATTAAAATGTATTTGCATAAACCTAATGGGGCATCACTAATATAAATAGGTGTGGCATTGAGTAGAAGAAATAAGTAAAAGATTGAAATAAAAGTGTGTTTTTCAAATTATTCCTCCTCTTCTTATCATTTCTCTTGTAATAGTCTCTTAGTTTCTAAAAAAGTGGTATTAGAGCCAAAGTTTCATTCTAGAGAGAGAGTGAGTAATGGTATGATCCCCTTTCAAGTCCAAATGCTCAATAGTACCAACTTTGACAATTGGAGCATCAGTATGAAGACCTTTCTAAGAGCATAAGATGTATGGGAGATGGTAGAGAAAAGCGACAATGAGCTACAAGATGAGTCAAGTCAATCTTAAACTCAAAAGGATGTATAAGAGATAAGAGAAAAGCGACAATGAGCTACAAGATGAGTAATGGTATGATCCCCTTTCAAGTCCAAATGCTCAATAGTACCAACTTTGACAATTGGAGCATCAATATGAAGACCTTTCTAAGAGCACAAGAAGTCTCTCTATCTAATCTATTAGGGATTAGATGATGACGCTTTTAAAGATTTATGATGTGAAATCTGCCTAAGAGGCATTGGAGAAGCTTCAGACCTCTTATAAAGAAGTGGAGCTAGTCAAGAAGGTGTGTCTCCAAATATTAACCAGTGTCTCAAAGTCTGCTATAAAGATCCACCATGTGTCTAGCATCTTCGATTTGGGCATATGAAGTTTGGAGGATTGGAGTTATTATCAAAGAAGAAAATGTTGAGAGGTCTGTCTTACATCAATCATGCAGACCAAATCTATGAAGGTTGCTTGCTCGGAAAGCAATTAAGAAAGAAACTTTCAAAGAAGTCAAATTCGAGAGCACAAAAGCCACTTGCATGAACTCATACATATAGATGCATGTGGTCCAATCATATTAAGCTCTCTTAGTAAAATTAACTATTTCCTTCTCTTCATAGAAGATTTTTTCAAGAAAACTTAGATAAATTTTTTGAAGCAAAAATTAGAGATCTTTTAAGTATTCAAGAAGTTCAAAGCCTTAGTGGAGAAAGAAAATGGCCTCAAAATCAAAGCTATGTGATTTTATTGAGCAAGCAAATTCATTTCAGAAGAATTTCAATTATTTTGTGAAGTGAATAGAATATGCTGACTATTAACTGGCCCAACATCTCAACAACAAAATGGTATAGCGAAAATAAAGAATCAAACTATCTTCATATGGCTTAAAGTTTGCTTAAGTGTAAGAGATTGCCTAAGGAGTTTTGAGTTGAAGTTGTTGCATGCACGGTTTATTTGTCAAAATGATCTCCAACCATTAGTGCGTGTGGAATGACACTGCAAGAAGCATGAAGTTGAAGAAAGGCTGGTATCTCCCATTTAAGATTGTTTGGAAGCACAACCCGTGGACTTACCCGATGAGCAATGAAGTGAACCTGATGACAAGAGTAAGCAGTTCATTTTTATTTGTTATGAAACCAACTCAAAAGGCTACATGTTATACAATCCAAACACTATGAAGACAATCATCGGTCGAAATGTCATTTTCGTTGAAAAAGAAGAATGGATTTGGGACCCACATGATGAGCATTATAATTTCTTTGAGGATAAAGAAGTGGAGCAACCAAGGATGGAATAGGAAAGTGGGGAGCTAAATGCATTGCCAACTACGCCAACTACATGCACTTAAGAGGACCCGTCATCTTCATCATCTTCAAGTGAAGGTTCAAGCAAAAAAGTATCACACTTCCGAAGTTTGCAAGAAATTTATGAGGTAACTGAGAATCAAGGCAATCTTACTCTCTTTTGTATTTCTATCAATTGTGAGCTCATAAATCCTTAAGAAGCTATGCCAAGTAAGAAGTGAAATGATGTCATGGATGAAAAAATAAAGGAGATTGAGAAGAATAATACATGTGAACTAGTTGCACTTTCAAAAGGGCAAGGTAATTGGCTCGAAGAGGATATATGAAGCAAAGAACAACGAAAAAAGAGAAATCAACCATGATCGAAGTAAACTTATTAATCATAATCAAAGTAAATATATTGACACACACTATCACTTTATTGGAGACAACAACACAAGAAAAGATGTGCAGATGGGGTATGTGAAGACTCATGATCAAGGAGCTAATATATTCAAAAAGCCTCTTAAGTATGAAAATTTTTCAGGATGACAAATCAAGTTTAAGAGGAGTTGTTGAAAACTAAACTTGATTTAAATTGGGCTTTTAATTGAGCCCAAAATCTAGAAACATCTTTGGAAAATTCTAGAGACTTTGTTTATGAAGAAATTTAGAGGATTGTAGAGATATATTTTAAATGAGTGATTTAGAAAATTCTATAATAATTAATTAACGACTTTTGTAATTGAAAATAGAAGAATATTTTAGAGAGTCAGTAGTATTCATAGGAGTGAAATGTGTTCGCACAATCCTAATAGGGGTGTCACTAGTATAAATCTGTGATGAGTTTGAGTTATGTTCAAAGTCAAATTAAGAAAAAAAAGAGTAAAATAAAAATAATTTCAAATTATTCATCTTTCTTCTTACCATCCCTCTTATAAAAATCTCTTATTTTCCCACAGACCTTGGGCTTTATCGGTGCTATTAATATTAACAAAAAACTTGTACATCTCTTACAATCCCAAGCACAAGCTGTCCCTCCTTCACTACTCATTATTTCACTTTGCTTAATTTCCATCATTTACTCAAAACTACAGAGTGTTACAAGTTACAAAAGGATTAGATTCTAACATAAAACAAATGAGTTGGTAAAACGAATCTATCTCACATTTTGTATATAAATATCCTAAACGCCTCAAATTTTTAGTCATCATTTTCATTTTCTTCTTGCATTCTGAATTAAATTTTACATGCGAAACTAACATTGCAATTTTTCGACAAGTTTTATGTCCGTATTATAGAAAATAAGAAACGGCTGCAGAGCTTGTTCGAAGTAGACTACGTAGTGTACTACAGCGACAGAGCGAGAGAATTTGATGGTGTGTCTCAATCGCGTTAGATAGAGAAGAAACAAGCCCCATCAGGTGGATTTGTCTGACAGGACAAAAAGAAAGAGAAGAAGGGCATGGAAAGAATAGCCACAACGCTCCCCGCCATCTTCGGAATTAAACATAAAAGGGGAGCCATTGGTGCTGCCAGAAATCAGACTAGCACACTACTTTTTATGTTGTATTAGAGCTAGCCAAAGAGCTGGAGAAAGAACAGGTGGAGGAGGAGATATAGATTTTAAGAGAGGGATCATGGGGCATCACTCCTGCTGCAATCAGCAGAAGGTGAAGAGAGGATTGTGGTCTCCAGAGGAGGATGAGAAGCTTATCAAATATATTACCACTCACGGCTATGGATGCTGGAGTGAAGTCCCAGACAAAGCAGGTTTTTTATAATTGCGCTTTGTTTTATTTTATCTAAAGATATCTGTTTTTTGTAAGCTATCTGAAAATTTTCTTCCTCTGCTCCCATTAAAAGGATTTCTGCTGCATCTTATTGTCTTTTTCTTCATCGTTATAGTTTTAACGTTAACTTATAAATCTCTCAATCGATGGAGACAATCAGTGCTCATACAATAAAAAAGAAAAGGTTTGGAGGTTGAGTATGGAAATACGTTGGATTTGGTTGGTATGTATGTAGATGCCCCTGAAATTATGTAACGATTTAACCACCAAAAATTCGGTGACAAGCTCAAGATGATTGCGATAAAAGTTAAATTTAGTTATTACATCGACTTGAACATTTATTCACATTTTTATATATATTTTATGGGGCAAAAAACGCTGATATTATTCAAAAATATGTAGATTACATGTTAATGTACAAATAGAAAATAAAAAATGTAACTTATCATATTGACACATGCCGCCATGATAAAGTAATTGTAAAATTAATGAATGCAAAATATGGGTTGCATATATCTGGCTAAGGTCTGGAAGATTTCAGTGATTTATTTTTTTGAAGATTTTGGTGATTTAATTATAAATTTAAGTACTTTTCTTGTTAGTTTGTAAATTAACAAGATTTTTAAGATATACTTAAAATTAGTCATTTTTAACTGTTCTTTAAAAAGTGCATTTTAACTTTTTTTTTTTATCATTTTTTAAGCAATTCTTTTATAACTAACTGTTTGAAAATGTTTGTTATATGTATCGAAAATTTCACCGTGATTAAACATCTTAAAATTGCATAAGTTTCATCACACACACAGATAATTAAAATGTAGTAGGAGGAGGCAAAAAGATTTTTTTTTTTTAATTGGTTGTAATAACATCACTTTGCCTCAAAAGTTATAGTTAGAAATTGTAATAGTGTCAGTCGACCACAAAGATTGTAATTGGTGACTGCAATAGCGTTAGTTGACCACAGATACCGTAGTTAGAAGTTGTAGTAGAACTGGCCCCATAAGCTGAAGTTGGTAGCTACAAGAATATCAGTTGGCCACATAGATCGTTGTGAGAAGAAACAATAGTAACTGACCATGTAGGTCATAGTTGGTAGCTTTAAGAGTGCTAGTTGGCTATAGAGGCCGTAGTGGAAAGCAGTAATAGTAATTGGCCACAGTTAGTAGCTTTACTAGTAATTAACCACATAGGTTGTAGTTAATCAAAAAAGTTGTAGTTGGTAGTCGCAGTAGCATTACTTGATCATGAAAGTTTTAGTTCAAATTTGCAATAATAGTCAACCAAATACGCTATAGTTCATACGTTATAGTTCATCACATTGGTCGTAGTTGGTAATTGTAGTAACATTAGTTCACCACAAAGGTCGTAATATGAATATTTAGTAGCAATTGACCACATAGACTGTAATTGGTGACATAGACCAGAGTTGATAGTTGTCGTAGCGTTATTTAGCTACAAAAGCCGTAGTTTGAAATTACAGTAGTAGTGAGCTATATAGATTGTAGTTCGTTACATAAATCTTAGTTTGTAGTTGTAGTAGCGTTAATTAACCATAAAGGCTATAGTGGGAATCTAAAGTAATAACTAGCCAATGAGGTCGTAATTGATGCTACAACGGTTGATGGTTGCGACCCTTCTTTTGGGTTAACTATTTTACACTAATGTCAACACTTAAGCTAAGAAGGCTAGAAGTTATGGCTTGGACTTTAATACGATGTTATTTTTTTTGCATCTTACTTATGATACATCATTATACCATATTTGGGATATGTAGTTACACTTTATTAGAGATATATCCTTACTTGGTATTTAGAATACATTGTTAACTAACAAAGTTTGATGCCAATGATAATCATGGGTCGCCCACTATGTTTGATAGCAACAAAGATTGGAAGTTATCGTGAGGACTTTAATACGGTGTTTTTCGTTATATCATATTTGAGATACAACACTAAATCATATTCAAGATATGTCGTTAGATAGTAGAGTTCACTGACACGGCTAGCAGGGGCAACTGGGGGTGTTCGATGGCAGTCAGATGGAGGTGCTCCACTTTGGTCGGCCGCTATATGGGACAGAAGCTATCACGGGAACTTTGATACGAGATTATTCACTACACCATATTTGAGATACGTTGTTATATTGTATTTGAGGTACATCATCATTCTGTATCAAGGATATGTTGATAAACCATATTTGAGATATATCGTTAGCTAGTAGAGTTCGTCAACTATGACAAGTATTATTGGCCAGTTGCGGTCGACGATAGGCGGTCATCGACAGCTATGGAGACATGGGGTTATTATTATTCTTTTGTTCATAACAATACTGAA